CCTGGCCCAAAATCTGCTCGTATTCGGAAGTCGAACAGAGCTCACGCTCCGCGAACTCACAGCTCGCTCGCGGACTCCGCTGTCGCTCCGTTTTCCCGCTCGCTCGCTGTGAGTTCGCTCCGCTCTGTGAGCTCTGTTCGACTTCCTCCTCCTCGCAGATTTTGGGCCAGGAAATCGCCAGGAGCAGTGCTCCGTAGGGTGAAACTCCACTACGTTGCAGTTTAGAGCCGACGAGGCCTACGAGGTCCACGTCGAATTTTAGAATCACGATCCTCTCAACTGCAACGCGATGTGGGTTGGGGACTCTATCCTAAGAGAGAGGTGCGGCTTTCCGCCCGCGCTCGAAGGAGGCCGCGTTCCGCGTGCTCGAAGCCCGTGTGAGCACCTCGTGTGAGCACCCATGTTAGCACCTCTTGTTAGCACCTTTGTTAGCACCTCTTGTTAGCGCCTCTTGTTAGCACCCTTGTTAGCACCCTTGTTAGCACCCTTGTTAGCACCCGTGTTAGCACCCGTGTTAGCACCTCTAGAACCCGCGCCGCGCGCCCGCCCTCCGCACTTGTCTGGCACCTGTCTGGAACCTGTCTGGCACCCTCCGCGCGCCCCTACCTGTGCCCCTACCTGTGCCCTTACCTGTGCCCCTACCTCGCCCTCCGCACCTCCGTCACCTATCCGTCACATATCGCGCACCCAGCACCTCCCTAGGCAGGTGTCCGACAACCCGCGCCTCGGGAACAGCTCCCGGGCCCGCTGCATGGCGTCGTCCACCTTCAGCCACTCCAGAAAGGAAAAAATCCCCTCGTCGCTCGTCTGCTTCTCCGTGAGCTCGTGCACGCTGCCGCCGGCCAAATCGTGGAGCAGCTGGGATTCTTTGAGGCTCTGGAGCACTGGCGCCCCGCCGAAGGCGTCCTGCACCGCCGGCAGCTGCCTAAAATCTCCCAGCAGCAGGAACCTGACGTTCGTCGAGAGCTGCGCGATGTCGGCCCACAGCCCGACGTCGGGCTGCGTGACCTCCTCCACCACCAGCCTCCAGGGAGCAGCGTCTGCGCCCCCATCCCCAAATTCTGCACGGAGCAGTGCGTCTTGGAGATGAGCACGACGCCCTCGTACGATGCGCTTCGCGAGTTGCGTTTTCCCATGCCGGACAAAAGCAGGCTCTTCCCCCCCAGGCAGTGGGCCACGGGATCCTCCACGTCCTTGCTGCGCCGGCGACTTGGCTTCCATGCGGGGCTCGCTGTACTCCCCCTCACCTCCTCGAAGCGATACTTCGGCGTGCAGTCCCGGTGCCGGCGCCTCAGCAATGCCTCCACCTGCTTCAGAAACTTTTTGGGCAGGCAGTCCGTCTTCACCGCGACCAGGTAGCGAGACGGCACCTCGCGCAGGGCTCGGTGGATCCGGGCGAGCTCCACGTGCTCCGAGGCCATGACGAAGTCGTGCGCCGGCCTCATGGAGTAGCTCTGTGGCGTAGACGTGGTCGTAGTGGGATTTCCCCCGGTCGTCGACGAAGACCTGCTGGTATTGACATCCTCGCCCGTCCACCTCGTGATCGCTGGTCCTCATGGAGTAGAAGACGTCCTTGGAGCGAGCCCACAGCCCGATCAGGGCGTTGACGGAGAGCTTTGCCATGTGCTCCCGGCCAGGCCCGCTCCATGATCTCGAGCGCTCTAGCCAGGCAGTCCGGCGAGACGTGGGCCGTGGCGTCCAGGGACCACTCGAAGTCGGCCCAGGTGGCGAGGTCCGTGTCGAGCATGAAGGCCGTGGCGGGCTTCCCGCACCAGCCCGTGGCGGGAAGAGCTGAGCCCGGCACTTCTGCGCCAAGAACCTGCAGCTGGCGCGGTCCCGGTTGTTGGAAGATGAGTCTGGAAAGTAGCCCCCTACCATAGGCGTGCATAGACCCCTATACAGACCCCTATGCTTTTCCTATAGACCCCTATGCGCCCGACCCCTCCCGCGGCCTGGTTGAGTGGCGCTATTTGCGTCTCAGCATCAAGGCAGGAGACTGCGTCATCCACGAGTATCCGGAGGACGCCGAGGTCCTGGAGGGCTGAATGAGCAAGCTCGACTTCCCCTGCAACACTGGCTTTGTCTTGCTTGTTTGATACGAGAACCATTGAAAAAAACATTTTCGGTAGCGGCAGCTCCTGGAGCAGCAGGGGGGCGCCTGCGCCCATTGCGGGGCTCCGATCGAGGTCGGCGGCTGCGAGGCGGATCACATCGTGCCCGTGCACCAGGCCTTCTACGGCCAGAAGCAGCCTCTGCAGGCTTTGTGCCAGGAGTGCCACGCCTCGAAGACCTTCCAGCCTGGAGAGCAGGTTTTGCCGCCACGACCTGGAGAACTACGTTTGCTCGCCTCGGCCGCCGCCCCTCGTCTGCGGGCTTTCGAAGTGCGACCCCGACAGGGTCTGCTATGGCGTGGACGTGGTGCGGTGCCGCAAGAACGCACTCGCGAACGCCCCCCTCTGCCCGTCTTCTGTCCGCTCGACAACATCCGCCCGGCCGAGGAGGGGAAGCTGGCGGACCTGACCTTCGTCAGGAAGCGGGAGGACCGACGGTCGCCCTTGGCGGCGAGGCTGCCCTATCCCGGAAGAGGGGCGTGGTGGAGTCCCGCCGCTCGCCCCGGTAGCGCGGCTGGCCCCGCGGCTCGCCGTCGCAGGAGGCCACGGCGCGCGCGCTCCTATAAAAAAACGCGTGGTCGCGGTAGATGCAGCAGGCCACCGGCCGCTGCTCCCGGTCGAGCGGCTCGTAGCAGTCCAGCAGCTGCCCTCGGCAGTTCACGATGAAGAGCGGCGCTTTGCGCCGCTCGCAAAACTCGCGGATCTGCCGGCCCGTGACGCCCTTCTTCTGCCAGCCTCGAGGGCAAATATCGTCGAAGTCGCTGTAGACCTCCTCGAAAGGGAGCCGCAGCAGCTCCGAGAGCTGGCGCACCACGCAGAGCCGGTCGTCCCGCTGCTTGAAGGCGGTTTGCAAGATCTCGGAGCCGCGGAAGAGCTGGAAGGTCACGTCCCGTAGGACGCCCAGGGGTCGGTTGAGGGTCACCTGCGTCTCGACGCGATTGTCGACCACCTGCGTGCTCTGCTTGGAGACGCCCCAGTCCCGCGAGGCGTCGTAGGTGACCTCCTCGCTGAGCTCCATGACGACGGCCCCGTTTTCCGGGTCGCCCATCTTCCGCAGGGCTGCGGCGATGACGTTCCGGTGGGCCTCCACCTCGCCCAGGGAGTCGCTCTGGCGTCCCTGGTTCTCCAGGTGATGGGCAGGAAGAAGTCGCGCTCGTAGGGCGTCCCGTTGCGCCGCCTGCCCCGGATTTTCACGGGCTAAGTATTCTGTCCACTTGTGTCGGAAGAAAGCTTTGCCAAGTTTCGTGACCCGATAGCAGCCCGTCGGGCTGCAGACTCCGAACCAGCCTCTTGGCCCCTTCCTTGAGGAAAATGTAGTCATTGGGCAGTCGCGCGCGAGCTGCTGTGCTTCGTCGAAGCGCCGCGAAGGCGGGCGGCGTCCGGCGAGCTGGTAGAAGAACTGCCCAGCGCGGCCCGGCTGACCGTCAGGTCGACTCAAAAGTAGCTGCTGGCCGCTCGGCAGGCGCAAAAGCTCGGAGCCCTGGGCGGAGGTCCTGGCAGAGGCGCCGGCCTCGACGGCGCGTCGGATGTTGTTTCGCTGGTTGGTCCAAGATGACATTTTTAAGCCGGTCCGGCGGAAGGGCCGACCGCTCAATGCGGCTAAAAGGGGCACGCTGGCTTGGGCGGCTCGCTCTGCTGCAATTGGATGTCGGTGATCTCGGCGAGCACGCCGCATTGGGTGGTCATGAGCTGAGCCAGACCTGTCTCAGCTCAACGCGGAGCTTACAAAATCCTAAAAATCCAAGACCCTAAACCCTACACCCTAAACCCTAAATCCTAAAAAACCTAAACCGTAAGCCCTACACCCTAAACCCTAAATCCTAAAAGTCCTAAACCCTAACCCCTGCACCCTAAACCCTAAATCCTAAAAATTTTAAAAACCTAAAAATCCTAGAAATCTGTTACAAAATCTAAAACCCTAAGCCGCCCAGAGCAAGTCCGACTCGGAGCTCTGCTGGCTGTCGGACGACGAGGAAGCCGTTTACGAGCCAGGGCGCTTTAGCCCCTGGGCTTTCTGAGAGTTAACAGTCTGGGTTTAGGGGTTGGGGTTTAGGGTTTAGGGTTTTGAGATTTAGGTTTTAGGGCGTAGGGTTTGGAGTTTAGGATTCATAGCATTTGGGGTTTAGACTTCGAGTTCCCAGTGCTGGTGTCTTTGCCACGGCTGCGTGCTGATGAGCGGCCCGGTTCGAGTCTGTTAAGGCTGCGCGACGCGGAGGCGGGGGGGTACGCACGAGAATTAGCCTGTTATGGAAGGCTGTGGCCTAGATGTTCGAACAACCGCGGTCTGGCATTCGAACGCTGAACTGTCATGTCGAGAGGCCCGTTCTTAAGGCCCACTCAGGAGGAGGATGTAGTCGGTTGAACCCTCGCTCCTGCACCCAAGTCTGCGGCCAGGCCGTTGGCATCCCTGAAAGCAGAGCAGTGCGGGCCTCGAAGGGCCTCCTGGGCTTGCGGCATGGGTCAGCTCCAGCTCTCTGAGCCGAGGTGTTCAGGTAGAACGTAGCCGACATTAGCCGACATAGCCAGCACCGAAAACATGTGAATAAGATAAACGAATGGTCAGAGCTGCCGCAGGCTGGTGGGCCCCGGCAGCTCCATGTCATGAGACTTGTTGTTACCGGCACTTTCGTTGTTGGCTCCTTCTTAGTTTTACCAAACACAGATCCTGGCTGGCCATGTCGGAGCAATCTGAGCGCGGGTGCAGTGCCTGAACCAGTCTTCAAGAGACAGGACTGAATTGAAGCATGTCACCATGGCACTGTAGCTGAATAGTTGCACAGTGAAGAGTGAGCGTGAGCCAGGAGGCGCCCCATCAGCCGCTCACCTTCTCCTGGCACGTCGCAGCAGCGTCGCAACTGCTCCAAGCAGTCGCGCAGGCCAAGCGACGAGATGCATACGCCTGCGTCGAGGAGATGGCAGTACGCCGAAACACCGAAAGTGTGGAAGCTTCAGAGAGAGGGATCGGCCTCCAGCAATCAGATGCCTGCAGCCTCCGTTCACACGCCCGTGGATGAGGAAGTACAGGCAGAAGCACCTGACAGCGAGTCGTCCTCAAGCTCCTGCACAAGCCGGCCAAGTCCAACCGACACTGCCTCGAAGAAGAAGAAGAAGAAGTCCAAGAAGAACAAGAAGCAACGGAAAAACCCGCCCCCTGGCTTCGACCCGACGCTGAAACCTGGCGAGGAAAAGAACCACGTGCTGAGCTTCATGCAGTCCCTGCCTGAGTTGGAGTGAGTAGTTTTTGTGTTTTAAATGCACGGAGCCGATTGTATCAAGCCATCCTGACCAAACCGAAGAAGCTTGCAAGAGCTGTTGCATTTTGGTCTTGGACTGCCACGTTAACCAGGCGAGCCAGGAAGCCTATCCCTAGTCGATTGCACAACCAGACTGGCCTACACAACCAAAAGGCCTTCTTACACAACTAAGATATCAGATTATTCCACCAAAACGAGTGGTGTACGCGGGACCGAGACGATTGCACTTGACGTCAATGCAACTTTTTACTTTTTTGTGGTGGGGCGGGGGAGGCGAGCGTAGGTACGTCAGCACCCACAGACATCTTACTCATGTGCATACATACCGTACTACACGTACTTACATACCGTCCTCATGTATGTACGGATATATTTTTCCTCTGGGGCTCTTGCTGCGTTTTTTGTGATTCTTTTAACTGTCTGCACTCGTAAAGCTACTCTGGGCCCATGTATCCTTGAACGGCAGCCGCAAGGCGTTTGAAGCACGCTCCACATGGCAACAACAGTCCCCACCAGCTGGGAATTTGCTATTACACCGTGGAGGTAAAGGAGGGCTACGTGTGCTGCCACCAGTCAACGTTGGTTGTCACAGCGGAAGACAGGAACGGAGATCCCTATGCATGGAGTGGGCAGGAGTTCAAGGGCGAGGTGGTACGGAAGAAGGCGTGGGCGGAAAATGCAGCAGCTAGAGTCTTCCTTGCAGATGCTGCAGTTCGGCAAACGGCTGAAAACATGGATCCGGCCTATGCGAGAAAGCAAACCGAGAGCCAGAAGCGTAGGCTGCCGAAGCTGAGGGAATTCCGCCGTGCCAAGAGGGCTGCTGCAGCTGCTGCGGCGAGACAAAGACGTCCTTGCATTTGCTGGCACGTCTGGCGTCCACCCGACATTCGAACTCTATTAAAAGCTCCTAAGCCCCAAGCTAAGATTGTGTTAGGTCCGAATGAGCACCTACGAAGCAGCTGCGCAGGAGCATAACATGCAGTGTCCCTCCGGGTCTGTGCTGGAGAATACTAAACCCACGAGCAGCCCTCAGTAGAAGGCCCGATGCTTGATGGAGAGCCGAGGCATGGGTGACGAGACAATCCGCTCCACCATCTGGCGAAATGTGAAGAATGCCTTCATGCTTACAGCGCCCCAGCTCAGCTTCGTGCAATGCTCAAGCTCTGTCTCACAAGCGCTTGCCGTACAGAGATCTTGCTTGAAATTCGTCAGGTGCTTTGGAACGACATCCTCGGGTACATCAACGCCGGCTTCGCATCTGCCAGGATCTTGGTTGATCACACTCTGCGTTGGCCTGATCGGGGCGATCTGTGTCAAACCCCGTCCTAGAATCTAAGACCTTGGACCCCCAAAAGGGGATGTTTCGCAATTTCAGAGCGTGATGCGAAAACGGGGAAGGCACGCGGCCGCTTCCCGAGTGTGGCGCTTCCGGCGAGGAGCTGCAGTGCGGCCTTCGATCCGGGCTGCAGGCACCCAACGAAAGCCAGGGTTGGAGGGCCCGAAGCCTGAAGATCTACAGCGCTTGAGCGCCCCTCGAGTTCAGTGAGGTTGAGGCTTCGGACACCAGACATCATTTTGCGCGTTTTGCTCGGCAGTTGCGGTCCACATATAGCATGCTGGATGAGTTTTTCCAAGTTCATATCCTGAAGACCCAAGGGCCCAAGGGGATCTGAACTAGCAGAGTAGCTTCGAGCCCTCGAGCATCGTCAAGCGCCCCTGCGTGCACCGCTGGGGTTTTGAAAGCTTCGCATGTCGCGGGGAGTACCGATCACTCACCATGCCTCATCCTCATGTTGAACTAGACGTTGATGATGAGGACGGTGATCAGGATGTGGAGAATAGATCTCGTGAGATGTGCTGAGGATGATGCTGGCGGCAGCCTCAGTAGCAATCAACGAAGACAAGATGACGAGCCGCCGCGCCCGCACCTTGCTTTCCACTACACTGCTACGGTAAGTCGACAGCCTTTTCCGGGTGCAGGGCTCGAAGCTCGAAAGCGCCAACAAAAGCTAAGCTGGGTTATAATGCTCGGAAGATCCCTACAAACGCCTCCAAACTCAGCCGACGGGAACTTCAAAGAGGTGGCAACTGGAAAGTCTTCTGCCGTGACCGGGACAGCCTCCTCGAGGTCCGCCGAGAGACTTTCAGGGCCTGCGGCGGCTGGGCTTTTGTACCATCTTACAATATCTTACAGCTGTGAGGTGAAGGGTTGGGATTCACGAGATTTTGTGCGAGTTGGATTCAAGGACTGGGAAGGGGCGCAGCAGAGCTTGGATTGATTTGATCGGGTCCTGGGTTTGCTTCGCGCTGCTGTCTACTCGAAGCCCGAAGAAGCATCAGCATTTCCCATAGGACTTTCGAATGCCAACTCTTTTGGGACGGAGGCGCAGCGGCTCCACCGCCGCCTTCCCGCGCCGCCTGGCAGAGGAAGGAGTGGGGGGCTTGTGGAGCGCACGTTCTGTCTTGTGGCTTTCGAAGGCCGGTAGCATGAAAGAAGGCTTTCGGCCTGGGCTTTCGCGTAAAGAGTTTGCCCCATGCCTTTATGATGCTGCCAAGCATCGAGCTCCGGTGGGCCCTCGAAGCAAAGGTGAGCTTTGCCTTCCGCACCTGGAGGCACGGGGGTTGGCCATCGAACCCCGGGTTGTGTAACGCTATCTTCCATGCTATCTTCCCAATCGGTACGAAGTTGCCATTGAGCTTTGCCAAAAGCCCCCCCAGTAACTGGCGGGGTCAAAACGGTACCAACAGAAATAGCCTCTGTCACAAGTAAAGCTTCTGTCCTATGCAGGCTTTTGGAGTTTCGGCCGATAGTCCCGAGATCTATCAGCTGAGCTTAAAAGGTCCCGAATCCTTGACCAAGCGGCCTAGAACCAGCGTCCGCTGCAAAGGGTGTCCGATTTGAAGCTGCTTGCAGCATTGAAATACAGTGTCCAGATCCCACGTTCAAGGACCAGGACCCGAAAACCCAAAGCACCATACATGCCCGAACTTCGAAGCTGCTTGTGACCGGTGTTCTGGCGATCGCGGGCGGTGTTTTTTCCTTTGTTTGGGTGTTGGGGCGCCACTGTCATTGCGATGGTTACAACCGCTCTTCATACCAACATGAGCCATGTCGTCATAGTGACTCTGGATCGTCTGTGTGGCATCTTGCATAAACCCCGAAGCCCGAAACTCCTAACCCCCAACCCCGGCGGACCCACCCAGTCCCAGGTGCCGCGCTGCGCTCGAAGCTTGTGCGGCTCGGCTCGGCTCGGCTCGGGCCGAAAGCCGCGGAAACCTCTTGAGGCCAAGCCCTAAGTGGGAGGCAACCAGAGAGGGGTTTTGGGGTTGTTGGGTTAAGGGATTCTTGTGTTGTTAGATGTCATTTGCTGGATGTAGAGACAACAGGGTGTGGATGGTTTCGATATAAGACCCTTCTGTAGGTCTCTGGGTTTCCGGCTCGGCGTTTAGATTCCAAGGTCTGGTTTGCTGGCACATGATGACATGCTGTGCTTTCGCTGGATTGCGGAAGGACTTCCCATTTTCGACATGAGTTCAACTACACCGTTTAACGGGTGATGCTATCGAGAGGAGCACGAATCGGTGTTACGCTAATGCATATGCTTGCGTTAGTTGAGGTGGCAATGCTAAGCATGCTGAGCCCTTCGTGTTGCAGCTAAGGATTATGATGATGAGGGTGTCAGTGCTGCTGATGCTTTCCAAGGTCCAACTCGCAGCACATCTTAATGCACCCTTCAGCAGCCCGCGGGTCTTAAAGTCACAAACCCAAAGAACACTTGCAGAGGCGCATGTTTTCCCAGAGGCCTTGGACCATCACAGAATCACACATGCTGACATGTACACAAAGATGTACACACACACACACAAATACACCTGGCATGTGAGCCTTTGTATATCCATCCTACGACGTCGTTTGTGAACCTTCTTCCACGCAGCAATATGGGAGTGCTCCAAAACCGGCAACCGCAAAGTAGACCCTAAACATTGTAGAACAGATGGGAGTGCTCGAAAACCGGCAACCGCAAAGTAGACCCCAGATAGCATTACTGTAGAACAGAGGCCCTGGAAAGGAGCCCTGGTGTAAGAAACCCTCGAAGAAGGACACCCTTTTCAGAATCGAGTTCGGCGAACTCGGCTTAGTGAGTCTCATTTCTGTAGGGCCGTCATTTCGCTCCCGCGACCTGTCGGTCTTCGAGGCTGCGCGAGTTTGCTTATGTATTGGTCGATAAATTTGGAGGTGCATCCACATGCTTCGGCAGGAGAAAAGTACTACAGTATTGGGTTCAGCTTGGCGTGCAGGGCTCGGCATCGATGCAACTATTGATAGTTGCATCGGAACATCTCGCTTTGGCGGTGGGCAGTGGTTTTGTCTGTTTATCGTCCACATGTCCGTTGTCGTGAATGCCTCAAGCAACCTCGTGCTTTTTGCAGCAATCGTACCGTTCAATGAAAGCTACTTTCACCGAAGACTACTTTCACCGATAACGTGTTTGTTTCGTAGCGCATGGGCTGAGATGGCTCTTCGGAGACATGCGGATGCTTCTTCAGGCTTGCTGCAGAGGAATGGGAGAAGCATCTCGCATTACACTGTCGACCTTGAATTACAAGCAAGTCTCCTGTCTGTAACTGCGGCATGTTTGTCTCGCGACGTGCCGGGCTTCTAGGCGGTACAGCAGTTGTGCGGGTACATGTCTTCAATTCAGCACCAATTCTCATCCGTGATTCCGAATTTGATGTGCATCGGTCGGGAATTCGGGAGGCGTGTTTACATGCAGTTTGGACCACACACCAGGACTACGCACAGTTCGAGCATGTTCGACTCTGAGGCACAGTCTCCGGGATATTTGGGCGTGGCCTCATCATTGATGCAGGTTTTTTGTCATGAATGCCGAGCTAGCTATCTCAGCTTACCCTCTACAACCTGCAACCTCGCAGACATAATATCGTTCTGTTCATCAGTGAGGGCGACTACGGCCCTTCATTCAGTCGCTCCTAGCAACGCTTCGCAACCAAGTTCAGGGCAACCCACCTGGAAGGTGTCTATGCGACCCTGCAGAAGCTTCTGTTTACCGTTTCGCAGGCGCGAAAGACAGCGGGCGTGAGCGGGGTGCATGAGCTGCCTCGCTTGCTTGCAGCGATCATGTGAGTGTAAAAAGCACCCGTGTGTATTGGGTTTAATTTCGGGATAATTACGTGAGAAGCTGCGGCTTCATCTCAGCCAAACAGACTACCTAAAGGCAGTTCACGGTCTATGTCAGTCACTGGAAGTCTGGCTCCGTCTCTCTGCTCCGCTCAACTGCCGCATCTGCATTCTTCCTTGAGTTTTCCGAGCAACGGACATCCTGATGTTGCATGGCCTGGATTTTGGCTCAACCGCGCCGCGAGTGAGCTGATCCTCATCTGCCCGGGTCCCGGTCGGGAGACGCGAGTTCGGGCAGGCTCTTCAACACCCCTCAAACCCCAATGTAGTCTGCGAACTTGCCCTAGAATGCCCTAGAGCTCCAGTTGCCGAAAAAGTAGGCTGCTAGCCACATATTATGTAACCCGGTAACAGGAGAGTGGAGCTTTAGGGATGAGTACGCAGAACTCTGGGGATTTCCTGGAGCGGGACACAGGTTTCGAGATCCTCAGCTTTGGGGCACAACTTCCTCGAAAGAGGATTTGGGACTCCCAAAGCCTGCATGGACAGGAGCTTTACATGTCAGCTTGCAACCATACTAGTAGCAACAAACAGCAGTCGTCGCCGTCACGTCGACGTCGTCGTGTCAGGTGGTGCGTTTAGTTGTTTTCGCCATCGTAAACGGTGAGTTCGGAAAGATCACATCCACAGAGCGGCATTCAGAGCAACAGAAGCCGGCCAACGCCTCAGTCCATCACTCGTGACCATCCCTGTTATGGTAGCTTAACTTAAATCCTTT